CTATGTCAAGGATCCTTAAATATAAACCTGAGAGTTCAACGTCAAAAGTAAATAAAAACTGAAACTGAAGTAATACATAAAACTTCTACCCTGAACTGGATCGTAAGAGTAGATGAGTTCGGATGGTGGTCTCACACTGCAAACCTCAACCTTGGAACGGGTACTGACCGTATCCTGAAATAACAACAATGGTGGGTCAACCCCACGAGCAAGTCCTCTCTACTATGACCCAAATCAAAGAATCAAATAAATTAATCATTATGAATCGGTCGAGTACTATATTTGCATACATCCTAAGGGAACTATCCAATGTATAACATGACCTCAACCAGAATAGACGGTGATCACTTAGACTCACACTAGGTGGTTAAGTGTCGCCTTTCCCTACCTAGGAAATCAGCTATTATATATGGTGTACGATACTGACAACACAGACTATAACGAACTACACAGTGATAACACCTCTCAATGTACTGATGAATATACTGAGCATATCAATTAGGCAACACATGACAACAATATTAATAAATATACCGAGTATGTCAATTAGGCAACACATGCCAATAATATTAAACCACATACCCCGACAGCCACACATCTGTCTATCGCAACGAAATGCATAAGGTATAAATGAGTCTAAACTTATTAGCCAGCTCACATGGTTCTATATGGCAACATATCCATATAATATAAATGCGACATAATTAAACAGTTCATTTATTTCCTGAAATGTACACAGCATAATAATCATGGTTTATATATCATTTAACAGTATAAACATCCCATAAGATATCATGGATAATTTATATGACTAAAACCATGGCATTATTTAATTTAACAGTAATGTTTGATACCATTTAATAAGATAATAACACTATTTATATTTAACAATGTCGTTAAATAAATCACATTAATATCCGTACTGTAAACGAGCCAATAAATGCTTAGAAAAGATTAATCGGCCATAAGAATAAGTAACGGGTATTAAAATAATAATTTCGTGGCCCGTTAAACCCGTAAATACCAACACAGTACCTAAAAATCCAAGTTTAAGGTTCTGGAATTTACAAAACAGGTCCTAGGGGTATTCTGGTAATTTCCAGCAGCTGACAGGGCCCTTCACGCGCCCCCACGCGCCACCCTAAGCTTCCCCACGCGCAGCCCTATGTTTTCCACCCTCTTACGCGCGCACACGCGCCTCCACGCTCTTCCACGCGCGCGCATGCGCTTCCATGCGCGCACGCGCTTCCACGCGCGCGTTGAAGGCTCCTGCAGACGTGGCGGATCCTGATTCGTTGGTTGCATGTGCTTTGCTGCAGGCGCGCTACACCGGATCCATCTATCATCTTACACCTAATCCAACGGTTATTGATCCGGGTGTATCGCGCTAACATGGACCGCGATGCAGTGGATCAATCTAACCCTCCCAATGGCTAGGATGTACGCGCACACCATCCCGTAGTACACCGCAACACACCGGATCACTCCGGTCGTCTCCCTCATTGCCGGCGACCGGAAAACTCGCCGGAAATTGCAAAAAAGCCCCAGAAAAATCTAGAAAATTCTAGAAAAATCCCTAAAGCCTTATTTAATTATTTTCAGCCATTATTAATTTCATGGGATATTAAATAAATATATACCGTCCTATATAATTAAAATTTCATTAATTTAATAAACTAAAATTAATAATTTATTAACCTCCTAACCTGGTCTCTATGCATAAAAATAAATTAAGCAATTAATTTATTAATTCAAAGGGGAAAAGTAGATAATAACTTGCCTTTTTGGATTTAAAATAAATCCGTCGGTTGCGCGTAGTCGGGTAAATTTCTCCTACACCGGTCCAAGCTCCTTTCTTTCTCTCTCTTCCTTTCCACACTTTTACAATGGCTCACTAAAAGTTATAACTTTTTCTAACTCCCTTCCATTCCTTCTAAGGTAGGCTAGCTAATTTATATACAATTTATATAATATAAATATTACAAATATCTAATTTTGCATTTAACTAACCACATTCCCAACCATATGGCTTCAAGTCTTACCCATAAACATTAATGAAATCCTATCCTAATATCTAATTTCATCATGACTTATGATTTAATACTATTATTATTATTCTTATTATTAATAAACTATTATAATTATTATTATAATATTATTATTATTATTATTATTATTATTATTAAACTATTATAATTATTATTATTATATTATTATTATTATTATTACATAAAAATACATTATATCATCATAATACTTTATAATACAAATATAATACTTTAATTAACTAATAATGCTTAATTAAACATAATCAACAAATAAAATTATTAATAATAATACATGCACCATTAAATGAACTCAATATAAGAATGATAAAGAAATCTACACATTAATTAAAATTAAACATAATCACCAAATAAAATTATTAATAATAATACATGCACCATTAAATGAACTCAATATAAGAATGGTAAAGAAATCTACACATTAATTAATTCAAATAAACTAAACTCTTTAATAAAATACGGGGTATTACAGTTTCAATTCGGTGGGGATTTGGGATTTTCATCTCAAATTGAGGTAGGGGATGTTTTAGGGTTATATTAATGTTGTATTGATTGTTATATGAGCATATACAACTTGTGAGCATGCCTTGTTCAAGTTATAGAATTTAATTTAATTATTTTCTTTGTTTAAGATTTAATTCTCATGATGCTAGGCAACTTAGAATTAAATTGTGGCATGCTAGAAATTTAGGTCTTGGTATGGTAGTTGATATATATTAAATTGGAGTTATTTGAATAAGAATTGCAAATTTTATTTAATATTTATCTTTTGTGAAAGTTTAATTCTCCTAGTTGTATCAAGCATGAAATCAACTTGTAATGTGATATTAAAGTAGGCCTTGGTGAGTTCTTTAACATATATTAAATTGAGGACATTTGGATATGTTTGAAAATCTAGAGAAAATTAATTAATGAGCTTAATTAATTTTATTTTAATTGTGTTGGTCACTTAAGTTGATATCGGAATACTGTCAAGAGATACTGCAGTCGCTTCCTGTGAGTGCTCCTCAAGAACGAATAAATAAGTGCTAGGCCCTCCATCAGGTTGTGGTACAACAAGAAGATACATCTCCTGTCCTGGTATAGCAAATACAATAGACTTTTCGTAACAGTTAACCTGAGCATGGTACTGAGATAACCAGTCCATCCCAAGTATAACATCATACGAATGCATATCTAACACTAACAAATTTGCAAGAAATCGAAGCCGGCCCATATCTATAAGGATATCACCGCTACACTCTCATAAAATTGCGCCAACTCCCAATGGTGTATAAATATTAAGAGGTTGGTCGCATAACTGAGTCGTCATACCAGATAAGGTAACAAAAGATCTAGACACAAAAGAATGTGATGCACCAGTGTCAAACAGTATGCGAGCAGTTCTACCATGTATAGAAAACATACCCTCAATAGCCTGAGGAGCCTGTGCATTATGTGGCATGAAGTTATAAACTCTGCTATGATGCAACTGCTGTGGAGGTTATCCCGGAGGAAATGGTGGTGCTGGAAGTGCCGGAAAATTTTGAACTTGCCCACGTGGCATCGGTGGGGCCGGTAGAGGTAATGGCTGATTAGGTCTCGGCTGCCCATACTGTCCCTGCTTAGCTTTGGGACATATCTTGGCCGGATGCCCAATTTCTCTACAGTGATAACAACGTCCTGTAAAAGGACCTGCCTGCCTCCTCTGTTGACTTCCCGAAAACTGTTCCTGTCCGGTCTGAGGTACCCCACCTTGTCTACCCTGATTAGGGGCTCCATCCCTCTGCACATCTGGGTTTCCTTTATTTTTCTTCCAAGGTTGATGTCCCTGAAATCTTCCCCGATCATTGGACTTGGTACCACTGCTGCTTCCTTTCTCCACTGTCTAGTAGTCTCGGTTAGCTCGCTTATCTCCCTTGAACTTCCGGTAATCACTCCTCATCTGGCAGTGCTGTAAAGCGGCATTAACCACCTGGATATAAGTAGTATATGCAGGACTACCTATGATCACCACTTTAATCGGCCATATCAACCCTTTAACAAAGCGGTCTCTCTTCTTTTCTTCCGTATTGACCTCCTCTGGTGCAAATAATGACAAATTAATGAACTTCTGTTCATACTCAGCCACAGTCATATCCTCCTGTTGCAGATCCAAAAATTCAGTCTTCATCGCTGATCTTACTGACATAGGAAAATACTTGTTGTCAAAGCGAGTCTGAAATTCAGCATAAGTCAATCTGGTCCTCTCTTCGACAGTAGTAATAGACTCCCACCACTGCAATGCATTGCCTATCAGCATAAACGTAGCTAGCATCTGTTTCTGCACTTCGGTACAGATTACCATCCGAAGATGATGCTCGCTCTCCTGTTTCCACTGATATGCTAACAGGACATCTGTGGACCCCGCAACCGATGGTGGATTCCCTATAATAAACGAGTGACGAGTTTTGTCCCATGACATTGGCTGTGCCACTGGTTCAGGAACAGGTACTATCGGAGGAGGTTGCTGGTTTCGTAGAGCAGATGCTACTCCTGCTGCTACAGCTCGTTCAATAATATCAGCAACTTGAGGGGAAAATTCCTGATTCTCATTTTTAGTTGGGGAAATACTGCGATGACGGTTCGCATTCCTTGTCCCACGCCGAGACATCATTCTTTTGAATTCAGAAAAATCTAACGTCAGTACATTATAATGGACCGACTAAAAGAATACAAAGAACCCTAATACGTAGGCTCTAATTATCAGAATACACAACGCGGAAGTATAGTAATCACAGATCCCTAAGACACTCGAACCTGGAATGCTCTGATACCAACTGTGACACCCCCAACATTTTCCACGCATAAGTTGATCAGGCTTATACACGAAAAACGAGGGATATCAAAAACAATTGGCAATATACAAGCATAGAATATAAAATGATGATAAATAAAGAATTTAGACAGGAAAGGAACACTAAACAATACAACATCCATCCATCCTTTATTTAATACAGTACTCCATTACAACTTGGAAATCCTATGTCAAGGATCCCTAAATATAAACCTGAAAGTTCAACGTCTTATTTAATACAGTACTCCATTACAACTTGGAAATCCTATGTCAAGGATCCTTAAATATAAACCTGAGAGTTCAACGTCAAAAGTAAATAAAAACTGAAACTGAAGTAATACATAAAACTTCTACCCTGAACTGGATCGTAAGAGTAGATGAGTTCGGATGGTGGTCCCACACTGCAAACCTCAACCTTGGAACGGGTACTGACCGTATCCTGAAATAACAACAATGGTGGGTCAACCCCACGAGCAAGTCCTCTCTACTATGACCCAAATCAAAGAATCAAATAAATTAATCATTATGAATCGGTCGAGTACTATATTTGCATACATCCTAAGGGAACTATCCAATGTATAACATGACCTCAACCAGAATAGACGGTGATCACTTAGACTCACACTAGGTGGTTAAGTGTCGCCTTTCCCAACCCAGGAAATCAGCTATTATATATGGTGCACGATACTGACAACACAGACTATAACGAACTACACAGTGATAACACCTCTCAATGTACTGATGAATATACTGAGCATATCAATTAGGCAACACATGACAACAATATTAATAAATATACCGAGTATGTCAATTAGGCAACACATGCCAATAATATTAAACCACATACCCCGACAGCCACACATCTGTCTAGCGCAACGAAATGCATAAGGTATAAATGAGTCTAAACTTATTAGCCAGCTCACATGGTTCTATATGGCAACACATCCATATAATATAAATGCGACATAATTAAACAGTTCATTTATTTCCTGAAATGTACACAGCATAATAATCATGGTTTATATATCATTTAACAGTATAAACATCCCATAAGATATCATGGATAATTTATATGACTAAAACCATGGCATTATTTAATTTAACAGTAATGTTTGATACCATTTAATAAGATAATAACACTATTTATATTTAACAATGTCGTTAAATAAATCACATTAATATCCGTACTGTAAACGAGCCAATAAATGCTTAGAAAAGATTAATCGGCCATAAGAATAAGTAACGGGTATTAAAATAATAATTTCGTGGCCCGTTAAACCCGTAAATACCAACACAGTACCTAAAAATCCAAGTTTAAGGTTCTGGAATTTACAAAACAGGTCCTAGGGGTATTCTGGTAATTTCCAGCAGCTGACAGGGCCCTTCACGCGCCACCCTAAGCTTCCCCACGCGCAGCCCTATGTTTTCCACCCTCTTACGCTCGCACACGCGCCTCCACGCTCTTCCACGCGCGCGCACGCGCTTCCACGCGCGCACGCGCTTCCACGCGCACGTTGAAGGCTCCTGCAGACATGGCGGATCCTGATTCGTTGGTTGCATGTGCTTTGCTGCAGGCGCGCTACACCGGATCCATCTATCATCTTACACCTAATCCAACGGTTATTGATCCGGGTGTATCGCGCTAACATGGACCGCGATGCAGCGGATCAATCTAACACTCCCAATGGCTAGGATGTACGCGCACACCATCCCGTAGTACACCGCAACACACCGGATCACTCCGGTCGTCTCCCCCATTGCCGGCGACCGGAAAACTCGCCGAAAATTGCAAAAAAGCCCCGGAAAAATCTAGAAAATTCTAGAAAAATCCCTAAAGCCTTATTTAATTATTTTCAGCCATTATTAATTTCATAGGATATTAAATAAATATATACCGTCCTATATAATTAAAATTTCATTAATTTAATAAACTAAAATTAATAATTTATTAACCTCCTAACCTGGTCTCTATGCATAAAAATAAATTAAGCAATTAATTTATTAATTCAAAGGGGAAAAGTAGATAATAACTTGCCTTTTTGGATTTAAAATAAATCCGTCGGTTGCGCGTAGTCGGGTAAATTTCTCCTACACCGGTCCAAGCTCCTTTCTTTCTCTCTCTTCCTTTCCACACTTTTACAATGGCTCACTAAAAGTTATAACTTTTTCTAACTCCCTTCCATTCCTTCTAAGGTAGGCTAGCTAATTTATATACAATTTATATAATATAAATATTACAAATATCTAATTTTGCATTTAACTAACCACATTCCCAACCATATGGCTTCAAGTCTTACCCATAAACATTAATGAAATCCTATCCTAATCTCTAATTTCATCATGACTTATGATTTAATACTATTATTATTATTCTTATTATTAATAAACTATTATAATTATTATTATAATATTATTATTATTATTATTATTATTATTATTAAACTATTATAATTATTATTATTATATTATTATTATTATTATTACATAAAAATACATTATATCATCATAATACTTTATAATACAAATATAATACTTTAATTAACTAATAATGCTTAATTAAACATAATCAACAAATAAAATTATTAATAATAATACATGCACCATTAAATGAACTCAATATAAGAATGGTAAAGAAATCTACACATTAATTAAAATTAAACATAATCACCAAATAAAATTATTAATAATAATACATGCACCATTAAATGAACTCAATATAAGAATGGTAAAGAAATCTACACATTAATTAATTCAAATAAACTAAACTCTTTAATAAAATACGGGGTATTACAGTTTCAATTCGGTGGGGATTTGGGATTTTCATCTCAAATTGAGGTAGGGGATGTTTTAGGGTTATATTAATGTTGTATTGATTGTTATATGAGCATATACAACTTGTGAGCATGCCTTGTTCAAGTTATAGAATTTAATTTAATTATTTTCTTTGTTTAAGATTTAATTCTCATGATGCTAGGCAACTTAGAATTAAATTGTGGCATGCTAGAAATTTAGGTCTTGGTATGGTAGTTGATATATATTAAATTGGAGTTATTTGAATAAGAATTGTAAATTTTATTTAATATTTATCTTTTGTGAAAGTTTAATTCTCCTAGTTGTATCAAGCATGAAATCAACTTGTAATGTGATATTAAAGTAGGCCTTGGTGAGTTCTTTAACATATATTAAATTGAGGACATTTGGATATGTTTGAAAATCTAGAGAAAATTAATTAATGAGTTTAATTAATTTTATTTTAATTGTGTTGGTCACTTAAGTTGATATCGGAGGTAATTGGTTATTAATCCCTTGAAACGTAGTCCGTTTAATCACCTTGTGAGCATATTACAAATTTGATGTAGAATTAGTACTTTAGGCATCTTGAAATGGTAATTAGACTTAGCATGATATAGAATATCATTGACTTGCATAACTTGTTTAGATATATCTTGTGTGGGTGTATAACTTGTTAGAATATTACAATTGTTTACCTTGGAAGCTAGTTACTAAATTGGGACTTATTTAGTACTTGTGGCTTAGTGTGGTATTGTGGTTCAATTGTTGTAAAATATTCTTGTTTTGGTGTATAAATTGCATATTGGAAGGCTTGACATGTCATATGCTATCTAGACTTGAATTCTAGGACACGGTTTGTGTGAATTTAACCTTATTTGTGCATGGAAGATGGCTTTATGCTTTAGTGGATTTGGTATAAGTTTGGTCTAACTTATTGATTTTGGAAAGCTTGTAAGGACATATTTCACGTGATGGCTAGGGTTTGGCTCTAGTACGGAGATAAGAGTCTTCTAAGTCATAAGTGCGCACTAGGTAGTACCTTGTGGGTCGTAATTGCCCGGAATAACTTATGCATGTGCGCACTAAGTAGTGCCTTGTGGGTCGTAATTACCCAGAAACACTTGCTTGGTCTAGTGACCACATGTCGTAGTCTTTCTACTTTGATTTTGCATTCAATTTCAAGTTGTTAATCATGGATTACTTATAACTTGAGAATTAATGCTTGTTTTGGATATTTGAATCTTACTTAGTATACTTGAAACTGTATACTTGTTTTGTGCCTTTAGATCTCATATAGTGTACTTGAACTTGTATGCTTGCTTTGTGAGTTTAGATTTCATTTAGTATGCTTGGGCCGTGTATACTTGTTTAAGGCGTATCTCTTTTAGCTTAGTATACTTGTGTTCGTATACTTGATTTACGAGATTTTCATATAAAATGCATACTTGTGTAAATATGCTTAGACATTGCATGACTTGTCTTAATGTGGTTTAGTATACTTGAAAATGTATGCTTGTATGTTGTATAACGTGTTTAACATTGTTTAGTATACTTGAGCGTGTATACTTGTATACCGTTGTTCACTTTAAATTGCATGAGTAGCTTAAGATGCTCCCTGAGTCTCATTTTGATATAGACGTTAGGTGGCATGAGCCCCTTTGACATGTTTCACCTTAAGGTGATATAATTGTAAAATGCTAGGTCGATGCATGCTCATCTCCTACGAGTAGCTTTATGCTAGTCACCTACGTAGTGGGGACATTTTTCAGGTACCGGGATCAAGATTTGGGATTCACATTATGCTTGGATGATTTGTAGACTTGAAATTCTCATTTCATGTTAATATTGGCTTGAAATGCCATTTATAGCTTTATATGTCAAAATGTGTAAATTTGATTCTATTTTTGTAATGTGTACATAAGTACACTTTTTACAATGTATTTGACATATATAAGATGAGGCCATAGGCCAATGACATCTAATTTGTATCCTATATAACTTTTAACTTCATGAAATATTATGAAAATATTGAAAAACGCCAAGTCATTGTCTCACCATGGTTGCATCGGGTGTGGGAATTCCGTTTTCATTCTTTCATAAGGTCTTATAAATCATGTTTGAAGTATGGCCAAGGGCCAAATGGTCATTTGACCCCGTTTTGTATTTTTGGATTCCGAGTTTTCATTCTAAGTTCTATTTTTGCCTTTTTGCCCGTTGGGGGGTCGGATTTTGTATCGGTGGTATTTTTAAGTCGTGGACCATTGTAGCACGTCCAAATAGGTAAGTTACATTTGCGTGCATAGTCGTTTCCGGGCAAAACCTTGTTTGTGTTTTGAGCTTCCTATGGACTCATTTTGAAGTTTTGTTGCATAATCTGATTTTAGGGCACTTTGGGGTTTTCCTTCAGGAAATAAATTTCGTTCTTGACATGGTCAATTAGAAAACATGATTTTAGGGGGGGTTTCTTCTTTGTGTTTTTCCAGAAAATGTCGTCTTGGAATCGAAAATCCCGTGCAAAGTTCAGTTTTTCTGCTATGCTATAGTAGCTTTTTTTCAACTTCTTGCCCTTTCCTGATCTAGGGGCATTCTGGGTACTTCATAGTGTTTCTTTTTCCTTTTCATCCACGTTTCGGGTAGAAACG